AACTGAGGTCTTCGAAGTCACTAAGCTACTGTGTTTGTTTGCTTCTGTATGTTGTGTACATAATCTGTTCCACTGATTGACCTTTTGTTGTTGTTGTTGTTGCTGTTGTTATACAATTGTTTCAGTCATGTCCAACTCGTCATGACCTCTTTTGGGGTTTTCTTGGCAAAGATACTAGAGCAATTTGCCATTTCCTTCTCCAATTCATTTTTACAGATGAGGAACTAAGGCAAACAGGATTAAGTGACTTGCCCAGGGTCACACAGCTAGGAAGGGTCTGAGGCCAGATTTCAAATCAGGAAGATGAGTCTTCCTGACTTCAAGCTGGGAACTCTATCCAGTTGGCCACCTAGGTGTTGCTTTCTTTTTTTTTTTTTAACAAATACTAAATCATTTTAATGAGTATTGCTTTGTAGTACAGTTTGAAATTTGTTGCTGGTATACATCCTTTCCACTTTCCATTATCACCTTTGAGATTCTTGTCCTTTTGCTCCCTCCATATGAATTTATTATTTTTCCTATATCCACAAAATATTTTTTTGTGAGATTTATAGGTACAGAACTAGAAAACTAAATTAATTTAAGTAAGAAGTATTCTAATTCCTCCACCATAACTAGTGAGGTCAGGGGGTATGAGTAAAAGTGCAAACAGTGCCAGAAAGCCGTGGCCAGGGCAGTTGTATCATCAGAGAGTCAGGTCTCAGTGAATACAAAAAGATATATGGAGAAGGGAGAAGGTTATCAACATTGCTAAGGGTGTGTCTGTCCTCCCTTCCCCTGGCCAACCCTTATCCTTTTCCCCAAGGTTTCGGCAGGAAATTGAGGTCAGTTACCAATATTTCTAGTAACATGTCAAAATGTCAAGAGACAGCCAAGCCGGTAAAGTAGAAGGAGTAAAGCCCAGCTTCACTCACACTCACTATTTCCCCACTACCACCACAGACATAGAAAAGCAACAGACCAAGGTATGATTGGGAAATCAGATCTCCTATGGTTCCTAGTTGAAATGTCTTTGATTCAACAGAGCATAGCTCAGAACATCTGAGCTACACTACTTTGGGATTTCTTTAACAGACTTCCCCACCATATCCCAGGAAGCTGGGAAAACTTCATTATCTTACAAGATTTCATCAGTCGTATGACTCTACCTTATCACCACCTTCTGTTCCTCTGATTAGAAGGTTGAGCCATGAACCCCAAAATCTCGATTTAAGGCACAAGCACAATTCAGAACAACTCATTTCTCTCACTAGCTATACTACTTTGTGACTTCTTTAATAGACTTCTCCACCATGTCTCAGGAAGCCCTTTGTTGGGAAAATTCATCTTGTAAGATCTCATCTGCCTTGGGACTCCACCTCATCAATATCCTCTGTCCCTCTGATTGAAGGTTGAACAATGAAACCAAAAATCTCCATTTAAGGAGGAAACACAGCTCAGAACATCTCATTTCTTACATGACTGCACTGCTTTGGTAATTCTCCACCATGCCTTACCCCCATCAGAAACCTTCCCTTTTTTCAGATCCTTCTGTGTGTTGTCTTCCCCCATTAGGGCATAGAGGTGGTACAGCGGATAGAATGCCTCAAGTCAGGAAGATTCATGAATTCAAATCTGGCCTCAGACACTTACTAGCTGGGTAACCCTGGGCAAGTCGTTTAATCCTGTTTACCTCAGTTCTTCATCTGTTTAAAAAAAAAACACACAACTAGAGAAGGAAATGACTAAGTACTCCAGTATCTTTGCCATGAAAATACCATATAGAGTCACAAAGAGTCAGACATGACTGAACAACAACTACCCCCTTAGATTATAAACTCCTTGGGGGCAGGGACTTGTCTTTTTTTTTTTCCCCCTCTAATCCCTAGTACTTAGCACTTTGTCTTAGTACTTAACAAAATGTTTATTGACTGACTGGAGATGTTCTCACTTATAAAGGTATCAGGGCTCTTTGAGGTCCCAGGAGATTGATTTAGGAGGGGAGACTGATTAACTTAGTTGAGCCACACCCTCGCACTATGTTACCACTATGTGTTTACCATGAATGTTAATTTTACATGTAAGGAAAATGTAATTCAGAAAGGGTTAAGTAATTTGTCCAAGGTTATACAGGTTAAAAGCATCTGAGGTAGGATCTGAACATCTATCTTCAATCAAGTCCCCTGGCTTTAAATCTACAATTCTTTCCATTATACCAAGCTGATTCACAACTGAACACAAATCAAGCTTAAAGGGGTTGCTGGTTCAGGAAGCAAAGATTCAGTACTAGATAAACCAGAAGGTCACATGTAGAAAGATACAATTTGTCCTGTTCACCTGCCTTGAGGGAAATAGAGAGTTTTCACCCCCAGCAGCCTGGTAAGGTGCCCATAACCTCCTGCCTTGCCTGCATTCCTTACAGCTGAATATTTTTTTCATTGCCATCACTGCCCATATTATAAACTTCTAATATAATCACAAAATCCATACAGAATCACAGATACTCCTCATAGCGGCAAATAAAGGAGATGGCAGACTTGGTTTTCTCATTCATCAAAAGACAACATGAAACATTTCATGGGACATTTGGCCATCTCAACCTACAGTGCTAAGCAAACAGACTGAAATGAAGATAACTATAATTTGTATAATAATATTATCCATTATGGAGCATGAAGGAGTAAAAATGTGGAGAAATGAGGCTTATACTTTCACTCATGGGAGTAGGTGAAAAGATCTCTCTCGATAGAAAATGATAGGATCGGGACACCTAGGTGGTGCAGTGGATAGAGCACCTGCCCTGGAGTGAGGAGGACCTAAGTTTGAATTTGGTCTCAGACCAGACACTTGACACTTACTAGCTGTGTGACCCTGGGCAAGTCACTTAACCCCAACTGCCTCGCAAAAAAAGAAAAAAAGAAGAAAAGAAAATGATAGGGTACCAGAATTAGTAGGGGAGGAAATCAGTCCATAATACAAATCATAATCTCCAATCCCTGCATTCCTCCCTCTTATCTAAATCCACAAGCCTTGCTTTGGCCTTACTTTCTTCTCATTACCACTTTGACCCTATAGTTAATTAATTCAACCATACAGGATCCTCCCTCTTTGACCTCTATCATTCAAATCTTGGCAATCCTCAACTCAGATCACTCCTACCATATCTTTTCTCCTCATAATTCTATACTAAATACCACTGGGGAAAGTCATGAAACTTGGCTAAATAAGTCTATTATAATTGTATATTCTCCAATCTCAGCTGGGCCTTAGTTGCTACCCAGCAATCCTTTCATTCTTCCTTGACTGTATATCACTCTCCTAAACCAACTGTTCCATATCTTACTCCTCAAGCCCCAATCCATCCCTCCCATAGCAGATAATCTCATATCTTATTCTGCTGAGAAAAATCAAAACTATTTAGGTAAATTCCCTTATCTACCCTATCTCACATCTCAAAATTCTCTATCTCTCCATCTGTTCTTTTCTCTTTTACTAAAGTCTTGAAGAAGAAAAGACCTTTGTCTTTTACCAAAGTCAAGCCCTACTAATAGATCACTCAATCTAATCCCTGCCCTCCATTTCTTTCTTCAATATATTTTTATTTCATTAAAAAAAAAATTTAACACAAAGAGTTCCAAATTCCATCCCTCCCAGTAGCCCCTTCCCAACCGCTTGAGAAAGCAAGTAATATATTGATTATACATGTGAAGTCATGCAAAATATATTTCCATATTAGCTATGTTGCTAAAAATAAATAAATAAAAAGCAATTAGCAAAGTGAAAAAAGAATGTTTCAATGTGAACTCAAGTGCTTATCAATTCTCACTTTGGATGTGGATACATTTTTCATCATCGGTCCTTTGGAATTGTCTTGGATTATTATATTAATCAGGGTAACTAAGTCTTTCACAATTTATCATCCTTACAATGACGTTATTACTGTGCACAGTGTTTTCCTGATTCTATTCATCTTATTTTGTATCAGTTCATATAAGTCTTCCCAGGTTTTTCTGGAATTATCCTGCTTGTCATTTCTTATAACATAATAGTACTCCATCACAATCATATACCACAATCTCAGCTGGGCCTTAGTTGCTACCCAATTCTTTGCCACTACAAAAAGAGCTGCTACAAACAGCTATACTTACAGACCCTTTCCCCTTTTCTTTGAGCTCTTTGGCATATAGACCTAGTAATAATATTATTGTGTATGCATATTTTTATAGCCCTTTGGGCATAGTTTTAAATTATTCTCAGGAATGATCAGACTAGTTCACAATTCTACCAACAATTCCTTAGTGTCTCTATTTTTTTTTTTTGGCTAGGCAATGGGGTTAAGTGACTTACCCAGTCACACAGTCAATGTTATGTGTCTGAGGTCACATTTGAACTCAGGTCCTCCTGACTCCAGGGCCGGTGCTCTATCCACTGCGCCACCTAGCTGCCCTTGTTTCTATTTTCTATATTCCCGGCATTTGTCCTTTTCTGTCATGTCAGCCAATCTGATAGATGTAAGGTGGTATCTGAGTTGTTTTAATTTGCATTTCTCTAATCAATAGTGATTTACAGCATTTTTATATTATAATTAATAGCTTTGATTTCTTCTGAAAACTGCTTGTTCAGAACCTTTGACTATTTATCAAATGGGGAATGGCTTGTATTTTTATAAATTTGGCTCAGTTTCCTATATATTTGAGAAATGAGGCTCTTATCTGATAAACTTACAGTAATTTTCCCCCCAGTTTCCTGTTTTCCTACTAATTTGACTGCATTTGGCACAAAAACTTTTTAATTTCATTCAATCAAAATTATCCATTTTACTTCCCATGATCCTCTCTATCTCTTATTTGATCATAAACTTTTCCCTTATCTATAAATCTGACAGGTACATTTTTCCATGCTCCCCTAATTCACTTATAATGATATCCTTTATGTCTATGCCCAGTCTATGCCCAGTTTCTCTGCCAAACAAACTGCTTTCCAGTTTTCTCAGCAGTTTTTATCAAATGGTGAGTTCTTACCCCAAAGGTTGGAACTTTGTTGCCCCCCTTTTCTTCCAGGATCTTGCCCTATACTCCTCCTCCTCCTCCTCCTCCTCATCATCATCGTATCACCATCATCCTCTCTTGTCTCTGTCTTCATCCTCTTGTTACTTCTCTGAAGCTCTAAACATTATTGACATCCAACTCTTTTGGTTAGTCTCTTCTTCCTTGGTATCAGTTCTCTCTCTCTCTCTTTTCTGTGTGACTGCCCCTTCTCTGTCTCCCTGGTCTCCACATACCTGCAAAAACAATCCTATTTAGAGAAGGCTATTTAGGGGACAGCATGACAGGGACAATATTATTGAGAAATTATTGTAGTAAAAAAAATTAAAATGCATTAATAAAACAAAAATAAAATAAAAATAATCTTCCTAAGGTAATCTGTCAATAAATATTTATTAAATTTCTATTATGTGCCAAGTACTGTGTTAAGTACTGGGGAAACAAAGAAAGGAAAAGGACAGTCCCTACCCTGAAGAAGTTTATAGGCTTATACGGAAGACAACACATTAAAAGAAACTGAAAAGGGGAGGCAGTGTAGGGAGGAGGGGGGAGGACAATGGAGGCCAGAGGAATACAGCCAGGTGGGAGGTTGGCCACCTTCTTAAATGGAGGATTTGGGAAGGGCTCTCTACTCTCCACATTTACCCTCTCCAGTCAGAAGGAGGGAGGAGCCTCAGGGGTAAGGATTACTGAGGAGGTGTCAGTTTCAGAGTTGATGTGATATACAGGTTTCAACATGTCAATCCTCCACTCAAAGACTTTCAATAGCTCCTTGCTAACTCAAGAATAAAATACAAACCCTTCAGTCTGTTATTTAAGGCCCTCTACAAATCTGACTTGACTCTACATATCCAGCCTCATTCTATATATTCTTTCCCTTCATAAATTCTACATTTCAGACAAAAAAGGCTACTAACTCTTCCCAGAAGTTGATGTTCCACATCTACTCTATGCATCTGTATAGGCCATCCCTCTTACCTAAAAGGCTCTTTCTGCTCTTCTGCGCCTTCAGTATACTTACCTTCAATTGAAGTTCAGCTCAGATCCCTTGAAGCATTCCCTAATCTCCACCCCAACCCTAGTTATGTGTTATTTTCCTCCAGAAATTATCTGCTTGTCTATGAACATATATACTGTCTCCCTCCAATGCTATATAAATTCCTCATGGGCTTTTGTGTTGTTAAAAGTCATTGAAGAAGTTTTAGAAAAGCTTTTAGTGATCCAAACAACTTTCTCCCTCAAAAACTGATATTTTTTAAACCAGCGTTATTCTAGTAATGCTATGTGGCTTTAAACCAGGGAACGCTATTATTGCAAGTAAATCAAAGGTCACAGAAAAGGAACATAGTATGGAGAAATATTAATTGCTCATGGAAAGGTAGAGCCAGTGTAATAAAAAAAATGACAGTACTATTTGCACTGATTCAGAGTCCTACCAATCAAATTTCCAAAGAATTACTTTAAAGAGCTAGAAAAAATAATAATGAAGTTCACCTAGAGAAACAAAATGTCAAAAATATATCAAGGAAATATTTTTTAAGAGGAAAGGAAAGGGGTCTAACAGCATCAGATTCCAAACTATACTTCACAGCAATACACCAACGATTCAGTACCAGTTAAAAAACAGAGAAGTCAATCACTGGAATGGATTAGGTATACAATATACAGAAACAAACAAATATAGTAGCTTAGTGTTCAATGGCAGTATTTGACAAAAACTGCTGGGAAATCTCGAAAAGTAGTTGGGCAAAAATTAGGTAACAAACAACATTTAATATCATTTAAGATAAACTCCAAATAGACATATGACTAAGACATAAAAGGTGACACCATAAGCCAATCAGAAGGGCAAGGAAGAAATTACCTTTTAGATAACTGGACAGAAAAAGAGGTTATGACTAAACAAAAGACAGGAAAATTAAAGAAGATAAAAATGAAGAATTGAGATTATTTAAAATTTTTTAAGTTTTTAGAGAAATACATCTAATATAGTTAAAATTAGAAGAGCAACAGAAGGGAAAAAAATCTTTGCAACAAGTTTCTTTGATCCAAGAGACTTAATGAACCAATTCGTTTGGGGGGGGGGATACAATTAGGGTTAAGTGACTTGCCCAGGGTGACACCGCTAATAAGTTTCTGAGGCCTAATTTGAATTCAGGTCCTTCTGACTCGAGAGCCAGTGCTCTATCTACTGTGCCACCTAGCTGCCCCAAACTAATTCAAATTTATAAACATAAAAGCCATTCCCCAAGCGATAAAGTCAAAGAATCTGAACAGTTTTCAAAAAAAGAAATGCGAACTATCAATAGTCATATGAAAAAACGCTCTAAATCACTAATAATGAAAGAAATGCACATTAAAGCACTCTGAAGTTCTGCCTCACCCCTATTAGACTGACAATGATGATAAAAGAAAATAACAGAAGTTGGAGGAGTTATGGGTCAACAGACATACTAGTGCACTAGTTTACTAGCTGTGACTTACTGGTCCAGCTTTTCTGGAAAGCACACTGGAACTACACCCAAAAGTTCCTAAACTAAGTATACCCAGCTATATTACCATTAGGCCTACACACCAAACAGATTAAAGATGGAAAGGACCTATCTATACAAAAATATTCAGTGCAACTTTTTTCATAATAGCCCAAACCCTCTTATTAGAGAATGTAAAGGAATATTATTGTGTTATCAGAAATGACAAAAAGGATAGTTTCAGAGAAAACTAGGAAGACCTCTATGAGCAGATGCATAGTAAACCAAGCAGAACTAGAACAACTTATACAATGACAACATTATAAGAGAAAAAAGAATTGTGAAAAACTTTAGAATTCTGATCAATGCCATGATAAACCAAGAATCCAGAGGACTAAAGATGGAACATGCCACCTACTTCCTGCTAGACAACTGATGAATTTAAAATGAAGACTAAAACATATATTTTTAGATACAGCCAATGTAATTTGCTTTGCTGGATTATGCATATACGTTATGAGAGTCTTCTTTTTCTTCCTTCTTTTTCTTCTTCCTTTCTTCCTTCTTTTCTCTTGGTATCTGAGTAGAAAAGAGATTTTAAAAATATTTATAAAAATAATAAAATATTTTTAAAATCATGGTGGATATAAATGGACAATAACATATTACTAATCACATATTGTGACTATTATTAAACATACAATAGCACATTATTATTACTTTCCAGCAAGTAGTTGTAGAAAGGATATTATCAAGAGCATGTACAACAAGAAGTGGTACACTGGCCTTATAACAAGAATGAAGAGCACAGATAGATAGCTTGCAAGCTCCACTATTATCTCTGAGATTTTAAAAGGACCAGTGTGAATGGCTAGCATGCCACAAATACTCAATGGAGGACATAGATAATCCATGACAATTTGTTTTGCCATTCCTTAATGGATTGGCTTCTACTTTGTTTCTAATTCTCTACTACCACAAAAAGTACTGCTTTGAATATGTTGATATCTATGAGGCCTTTCTTTCTGTGACTGACTTCCTTGGAGGACATATGAGCAATGAAATCTCTGTGTCAAAGCCAAGGTATGGAGACCTTATCAGTTTAATATGATTCCCAACTGTATTCTAGAAAGGATGGAACAATTTGCAGTTTCACCAGCAGTGTATTCCTGTACCTCTCTTTTCACAACATTAACAATTAATTCACAACTTTTGTCATCTTTTCTAATTTGTTGGAAAGTAAAGTGAAATCTGAGTTCTTTAATGCACATGTCTGTTATTAATTATTTGGACACAGGAAGGACAGAAGAGCAAACAGCCTCCTTCAGCGAATCTGCCTTTCATGTGGTTGTTAATAGTTTACAATTCTTTTGAGAACTGTTATTTGACCATTTATCCATTGCAAAAAGGACTTTTGTTATTACCTATTTACATTTTTCCCTCTATATTTTGGGGCATCAGACTTTTAACAAAGATACTAAATGCAAGTTTGTTTCTTGCACATATTGGTCAATATTATAATAGCATTTATGTAGTATACTTTAACATTCACAAAGTGCTTTACATGTATTATTTTATTCACACAACCCTGTGAAGCAAGTGCTATCATTATCCCCTGGATTCAGGAAGACCTTAAATCAAATTCAGCCTTAGACATTTCCTAGCTGTGACCTTGGTCAAGTCATTTAACCCTTCTCAGCCTCAATTTCCTCATCTGTAAAATGGTGAATACTAATAGTACTTACCTTACAGGTCTATATGAGGATCAAATGTGATAATATATGTAAAGCACAGACCCAACAAATGGTTTTCATGAGGCTTTTATGACAAGCTAAAAAGCCTTCTGGTAAGGTGGTAAACTAGCTGTAGGGAGTAAACAAGAGAATTTAGCAGGTGGCAGGAGGGAACAGCAGATTTCTGAAAACTGTCAACGATTTTCATCTCACTTGGAGATTTAAAGACAATTGCTTCTTCTCCTCACAGCAGAGGCTGAGTTTTATGCTGCAAGACAAAGGATTAAATTTTAGATACATTAGACAGAAAAAGATCTGGCTTTGGGCTCAGAAGCACTGGATTCAAATTTAGACTCTTGATTTATTACCTATGTGACACTGCATAAGTAACTTACCTTCTCTGTACTATCTTTTCTCCATTTGTAAAATGAGGGGGTTGAACTAGGTTATCTGTAAGGACTCTTCTAGCTCTAAATTTATGGTGTTATATGATCCTCAGATTTCTGAAAAGTTTAATTATGCTGGTTGTGTGTACAGCCCATATAAGCACCAAGGTAACCTCATCCTAAGGTATGACTCATCTCACTGATAAGTCAGGTCCCCAGAGCTTAGCTAGCTACATCTCAAAGTTCTAGGGGTAATCCAGTGGGGTCAAGGATTCTGTAATGCCATTGGCTTAAGCCCTTATCCATGTGCTTCCCCCTCAAGTTTATCAGTTGAGAATCATTATTGTCAGTCAGGAAGACATATTTACCAAGGTGGTACAATAAGAACAGTTGATACAATTCCCTCCCTTCCCCGAAAATGTCTGTGACACACTCTCCCCACAAATATATTTAGAGTGCAGGGAACAGAGGGCTCAGATTTAAAAGAATACATGTGGCAAAGGGTAATTCATAGCTTCTTCTTCCTTAAAGTCCCTTTCTCCCATTCATAGGATACTTAAGTTATTTAAGAAATTTTCCTTAGAGATGTCTCTTTGGTGGGTTCCTTGCAGAAACATGTCCAGTCTGTCCTTTGCTTTTAATGATACACAGCCCTTAGAGCACTGGCCTTGGAGTCAGGAGGACCTGAGTTCAAATCTGGTCTCAAACACTTGACACTTACTAGCTGTGTGACCCTGGGCAAGTCACTTAACCCTGATTGCCTCAAAAAAAAAAATGATCCACAGCCCATGGATCGCCATGTAGGACACTGAGGAGAAGATGAAAAGTCCAACATCCTCTGGACTCTTTAAAGCTGGAAGGTTCTTTTCTGGTCAACAAGAGACATAGTCAAAGTGAAGACTGTCTTCCTCTTCCTTCTCCTCCTCCTCCTTCTCCTTCTCCATCCGTCCCTACCTCAGGCATTTCCTTCTCAACAATGTGCTAAAAAACAACAACAACAACAACAACAAAAACTGCTGGCTTCAATTTCTGGAAAGCTTCCAAACTAAACTAACATGATGCTTTCTTTATATAGGACTCAGAGGATGTAACACAATTCTGCAGCCAGCTAGAACAGACCTTGTCTACACTATGTCATTTCATTAAATGACTTTCAAAGACCTCAGAATCAGGATTTCCTCCTTGATTTGAAGATCAAATAAGATGTTAAAAATATTTTGTAAACCTTAAAGGCTTTGATTGAAATGTGTTCTTAGTATCAGGCTAAAATGCAATGAGTAGTTTTAAGTGCACTATTACAAATGGCCAGTCACAGATGTGAACAAGGCCTGGATATGTATTTCAAATAAGTATCTTAAGATGTCTCTTTGGATTGGTCATACCCTTTGTGGCTGGAATATACCAACGAGCTAGTTTAGAATCAAAGATTAGATGATTTAACAACGTAGTGGTGGAAGCCTCCAACTAAACCCTAAGAAGGAATTTCTTGGGGGGCTAGGAGAGGGAGACAAGGATTGTACAAAACACTGACTGGTCTTAGCCTTTATCTGTGTTCTCCCTCTCCCATCCCCCCACCAGAGGACAATCTTGTGAACTTTGAAGTGTTTAGATTTTTTCATCAAGAGTCCTTGTAGTATCCCTAGGACAGCAGCAGGCAGCAGCAATTGCATTGGGAGGTAAAGACAAACTGAACTCAATGAAGAAAGGCAGATTCAAGGCTCTACAAAGTTTCTGCACAGAAAAGGTATACCATACATAAGGAGGACATCTTGAGCACACAAACAGAAGTACTTGTAGGAGCTGTGAGTTAGCCCTTTACCATATGTTACTCTAAGCTTGAAATCTCTTACCTCTATATTCTGTAATTACAGATGGAAAAGTGTGTCACAATCTTGGAGCATGGTGGTGGTTGAGGGGAAAGTTATACCAACTATTCCACTGTATTAATACCTTTCTCTAAAAGCTAATTAAATCTTGCTGACTAATTGATGATCCTAGTGGGGAGGAGGGGCAGTGCACTATACAATATTCTCCTTTAGAAGGATATGTATATGATGGGGATTAAATTGTCATTTTGCTATTATTGTCATGTACTAAACTACTGTTCAAGGTCCTATGAAAACATATTGACTAGAGCAGCTCTAAATATTGAATTCAAATCAAAACTCTGATATGTGAATATTTGATGTCATTTTTGCCCAAATGGTTGAAACAGGGTCTGTAAGTTAAACATATAAAAATTAAATAGCACTGTTTCTCCAAAGCTGCAGTGAGGGACAAAGCAGAAAGCTGAACAACAAAGGACTTGTGTTCTTCCTAGCCATTAGCACTCTTACTTGTGATTTAGGCCAGGTCCATCCTGGGAAGTTTCACTGGAACAAGTACGTGAGTCAAACTGTAAGGCATATATCCGAAGGCAGGATCAGGAAGAATACAGGGTCAGCTGTAGCATCTTTCCTCAGGAGCTAAAGACATTCCAAGATTATAAATGTATCTATATGGTTTATATTTTTTTCATTTTTTAAGAAAAATGTCTTTGAAAATATTCATGAGATAAAGTCCAGCTTCTAATGACTACACAAACTCATGAAGACTGTATTTTCAAAACATCTTAAGTCATTGTGCAGTGTTTCTTTTAGCCCATCTCTGTTGTCTGAGGAAGTTCTAGAACTAGCACTTCTAGTTCAAATTAGATGTTGCAACAAAGTGAGTCACTGGACAATCAACAAAAGGTCTACTTTGCCCTAACACAGCAAAGATATGCAACAAGGATACAATGAACTTAGATTCTCTCTGGACTTGGTTCCCCTCATCTCCATGTGGAAACCCACCATCTGATCATCAGGGCAGGATATGGTAAAGAGCACAGTGATTTACAGGCTGGGACTTTTATACCTGTTGGTCACCAGAAAGCTGTTTTAGGGAAGCCAGGAGGGCCAAGCAAGTCCCAAGAACAGCTTTCTTTCCTTTTATGGAAAGCTGATCTCTTTCAAAGGAAGAAGAGGCCTAGGCATACCTTATATTGTGGGGAAGAGGAGGAAAACATTTTGATAGTCAAAATAAATTATTTTCTGAGCATTTAGGATTATTGGATAATTTTAAATCTATAATTTGACATTTTAATAAAATTAAAATTTATGTATTCCCAATATGAATAACTATCATTATGACCTACTAAATGCTGGATGCAACTTTTCCAGAAATTTTCCAAACTGCTGTATAAAATACACACCATAGAAATAAAGCATTTTAAATCTCAATAAGAGAAACAGTACTTGTGTACAAAGTACAGAGTGTGTCCATGCAGATATAAAGCTACTATAAATGAAGATAAAATTAAACAGCATTAAGAAAGCTGAAGAATAATGATGTCAACAAGGATTCTTAAGTCACTTTGGTGGGGAGGTCAGACAGGTCAGAATATAAATCAGATGGTGGGACTGTTTAACAAAGTGCAAATGAACTTTGATGAGCAGCAGACAACAAGTAATCATCTGTAAAGGGTAGGACAGGCTATTAAGTTGACATAAGTTAGAGTATCTATGAAATAGTTGTCCACATGGAGTTTATGGTCCACTAGAAGAATATGACATATGTACAGATAATCATAATAAAAAAGTACATTAAAGAGGCACAAGTGCCATACTGGCATGGTAGGTACTATTAACAGAATTTAGGGAAAGTGAAATGTCTTATTATTAATAGAAAGTTTCATGGCTGAAGTGAAATCTGAGTTTTGATCTTAAAAGCAAGGTATAAATTAAACAGGTAAAAGAAGGAGCAGAGGGAACAACATACACAAAATCATAAAAGTGGGAAAGCCTAGGTGCAGAGGACAAAAGTATTATAGTTTGGCTTGACATAACTTTAAGCATATTTGTGAGGGGAACAGTACATGAAGGGAAATGTAGAGTGGCATCAAATTGTAGCATTAAATTACAAGTCAAAGGAGTTGGAATTGTGCTCAATCTTATACTGTAGGGAGCCACTAAAGATTGATTTTTTTTAATAGAGAAGTGTTATGCCCACATTTATGGTTAATAGGGGTATGGTGGCTTATGTGAAGATCCCATTGGCTTGCCTGGTTAATGTAACCTCTCCAAGTGGAAGACACTAAGAAGCCTGCTTCTAAGAAAGTTATGAGAGAAATAAGTGTAAAAGACTGTCTTGGAGAAGCTGTGGACCATGTTTTTGACATTCCATAACTGCTTCTAATCGGCTAACTACAAGGTGAAGGGAGACTCATTGATTTCAGAAGCACTCAGAAAGGCCTATCAGCATCTGCCATGGCCTGTTTTGCCTCATTCTCCCTTGGGGTATTCCAGTAACTCTTATTCCCTCTGAAGCTATGTGGCCCTAACAAACCAGTCTTTTTTTTTTGTACCTTATCTTTTTTTTGTTCTTTTCCTTTCCAGGTGAAAAGAATGGAATCTCCAACTTTGGGAATTTCAAAAGTTTGGGAAAACAAACCATAGGAATCCAGGAATGGGAGTTCAGGACAGGTATCACAGCAAACTCAGTGCTCATGCATAAAGGAGCAAAGAAAGACCCGTCAGTAGGACTTTCTGGCCAGTGAAAGCTGAAACAAGGACTCTTCTGGAAGAGATAACACATGTAGACATAAACTTGGTGGAAATGATGGTATGTAGGGATAAGCTAAATGGAGCCCACTCCCTCAAAGACCAAGGTGGTGTTAATCAGCTCAGAGAGGGGTTTGATCCTTGACTCGTTCAAGGCCTCTTGCATACCCCTGATCCCGTGTTTCGGGAAAATATGGGAACTCAAAATGACAGATTAAGTTGGCTTCAGGGAAACAGTAGTGTAGTGGAGAAAATGTATGCCCCTGAGCTGTTAAAAATACAGGGACAGGTGCTATGGGTGATATGGAGGGGTGATACAAGAATGTCTGTACTTTGTTCTTATTGGTGTTGGGCGTTGGGAGGGTGGGAAGAGGAGAAACACAAAGTGGTGAATAGAACATGGCCAAAAGAGGCTTGAGGCAATGGGACCAATGGCCTTATTCTTCAGCTAAAGAGCCACTTCAACCCCTCAAAATTATTCCCTGGAGCCCAAAGGGACAAATATAACAGTTTGGCTCTAGGAGAGACTTATGTACTACATTTGCATAAGAAGAAATATTCTGACAGCAATATAAAGAATGGATTGAAGGGGAAAGAAAATAAAAGTGAGAAGACCTTCAAGATCTCAAGTCACTTTCAGGGAGGTGCCAGTTTGCAAGGTTGCATGGAAGATAAGAGGATTTCAGACGTAAAGAGATTTTTAAAAAGGGAGTACATGGAGGATAAGGTGGGGTCATTTGCTTAAAGACAGAGAGGCAGGTAAGATTAGGGTTTTGAGGAGAGAAGAAAAGTTTTGGAAAGAGGTACTGTGGGGCATTCAAAAGGGAACTAATAAGAGATGAATAAAAGGAACACCAGGCCACAATAAGACCCTTAGTGAGGCTATGTAGTATGCATAAACTGATCAATCAACAAGCATTTATTTAGCACTTACTGGGTACTTGGCACTGCCCTAGATACTGGTGATTCAAATGAAACAATAAAGCAATCCCTATTCTCAGGGAATTTATGGAATGTGTAGTGAAGTTGCAATTTTCACAAAATTAACAGGTCTCTTTGTGGTGGCAAAGAACTGGAAATTCCAGGGAAGTCCATCAATTGGGGAATGACAGAACAAGTTGTGGTATATTGTGATGGAATATTATTATGCTATAAGAAACGATGAGTTCGATAATCTTAGAAAAACATGGATAGATTTGCACAAAATAATGAAGAGCAAAACGAGCAGAACCAAGAGAATGTTGCATACATTAACAGCAATATTGTTTTAAGAACAACTTTGAGTGACTAGTCATTTTGACTATTATAAATATCCAAATTAGCTACAAAGAACTTATGAAGGAAGATGCTATACGTATCCAGAGAAATAACTGATAAATAGAAGTATGTATAGGAGGATTTTGCATATATATATACATATATATCATATATACACATACACATATTTATGTTTATCTCTGGGGAGACATAGGGAAAAAATGAAAAAAGAAATTTACATAACTATTATATATTTAAAAGGAATAACAAGCTGTACATAATAAGAACTTCAGTTTCATGTGCTACTCTACTATGTTACAGAACTGCTTATTTTATTTCTCAACTTCAGGATAAAATAAATAAGCAAGTAAAATTGTGTACATCTGTCACAGTTTGACAATAATTTAGATGAAAAATATGACTACATTATAGAAAAAATAATTTTACTTTTGTTCAAGGTATATGATAGGGTCCTGGTATGAATAATGCACACACAATAGATTTGATTACTCTAACTTAGGATTCAGGATTGGAAAAGCAGGTATGGTGTCCAGTTAACCGAGTGAAAAAGTCTAGGTAATCAGTGATAGTGTTGTTCCATAGGAAGTACAAGACTACAACAGGAAGCAAATGAAGACAGAAGAGGACTAGGAAAATAGGAAGGGGTCAAGGGATTGAAGTTCTTTAGTATCACTTTCATTAATGCAATAAGGATAACAAATGATCTATTAAACCAGACATTTCATAGAGCAAATACATTTTGAATAATCTATTAAGTGTTCCACTAAGTTCATTTAGGAAATATAACCCAATTTGACTGACATTTCTAGGTGTCATTGATTGATGCAGTAGAGACAACTACCTGGAGTTCTCTGGTTTTAGTAGGGGCTAAAATTTAAACCCTGAACACTCTGGAACTATGTCACTGGCTCTAAATGTGATATTGGGAAATTTTTAAAGGAGAGATGAATAACAAAATAAATCATTTTTAATACTTAAAAGCAAGAGTACAAACTAATCTTTCAATTAAAGTAATAAATTCTGGTTAAGAGACAAGAGGAGAAAGCATACAATTCCATCTATTAATGAGGGTTGTTTTGTAGTAATTAAACCGGGTAAGGTTAAAATTGGTCTTAGTATTCACATTCTAAGTGATATGGAACACCAATCTCATGTAGTGCATGCTTTTAAAGTGCTTTCACATATATTAATTCTTAAGACCGTATCTTAAATAAGAAACTACTGCTTCAGCTCTAACCAAAAAGGGAAAAAAAATGGAGGGAGGAAGAAAGAATACATTGAAACACAAAGCTACACTACACAAAATAAATAAATGTTTGCCACACACCTTCATTTATAAAACAACTATGTAAAGGACAAAACCAAAAACAAAACAAAACAAAAAACCTGTGCATGATGGGTAAATTTTTTTTTTGAGGAATAAATATGTTTCTCCAGAGGAAATTGCTCAAGAGCATTCCTCCTTACATAACAATTGCCCCAGTAATACTGCTCAGGTCAGTGTGTGTTTGGATTTATCTATTGCCTAAATGCCAGCCACGTAAAGGTATGCTGTCAAGTGTAGCATTTCTATGTTCTTTGTTTTAGCATTTAAAAGTGACTTTTGAAAAGTACTTTGCAGAATTCAGTTTGTTAGTTTTGGGTCTTCTGGTCAGACTAAATCTCTTTTGTTTCTTTTCAGATACTAGTGCTAATGATATGGTTTCAACAAAAATATCATTATATGGAATGTACACTCCTCCCCATTCTCTTCTCCCCAGTGTATTTTGCACAGCAAAAGAAAGTTTAACTGATTTTTTTCTGGTTAATCTAACTGAAAAATCTGAATTTCATTCATAGCTTCTCCAGGGACCAGATCACAAGAAAAGTGTTAAGAAAGATAGCTTTCAAAGAGAAAGACCCCAGATAACAAAGCCTGATTCTTTACAGTTTTGTTGAGGTTCCTTTGTTCTTGTTTCCCAAAAAAATTATTTTCAATTTAAAAACTTTAATTTCTACTTTAGGCATGCTAATAGAGAGTAATCAAATCTATTGTGTGTGCATTATTCATACCAGGACCCTATCATATACCCTGAACAAAAGTAAAATTATTTTTCTATAATGCAGGCATATTTTTCATCTAAATTATTGTCAAACTGTGACAGATGCTACACAATTTTGAGGTTTGTAGAGCTCACCATTTACTACCTATGTGACTTCGAGAAATTTATTTCCCTTCTCCAGTCATGATTTCCTCATTTGTAAAATGAAGGGTAGAGATTAGATAACCTTTCCAACTATAAAACACCGGACCCAAAGTTCTCTAGCACTTGCTATGCAATATCTGCCTCTGCTTCCTCATCTGTAAAATGGAATAATAATACCACATATCTCCTGGAATGTTAGGAGGATCAAATGAAATGTAATTTATAAAGCTTTTTTCACAGTGTATTTTGCACAGAGTAGGTGTTTAATGGCAGCTAGGTGGCAAAGTGGATAAAGCTCTGGGCCTGGAATCAAGATGACCTGAGTTCAAATAAGGCTTCACGGACACTAGCTGTGTGACCCTGAGTGAGTCCCTTAACCCTATTTACCTCAGTTTCCTCATCTATAAAATGAGCTGGAGAAGGAAATGGCAAACCACAACAGTATCTTTGCCATGAAAACCTCAAAAAGGGGTCAAGAAGAGTCAAACAGGACTGAAAAATGACTAAACAACATATTTAAAAATGCTTTCCAACCCTTTTCCTTCCCTTCCTCTAAGATCTAATAAATTCATTGGCCCAAAAGGCTGAGTATTGATTAAGCAGAATTACCTTCCCTCCCCCACCTTAATTTGATTTTTTTAACCCTGGCTTTAAAAAAGGGGGGGGGCAATTTCTGATTCTTAGCATGATCCTTAGATTTGGCTGTTTAAGAAAGTAAGAGTTCAGTTCTGGTCCTGTATGAGTTTTACTCCTACTTCAGTCACTGTCCTAACTGGTGGTTGTGAACATTTATTGCCATGTCTCTTCAAGACCAGTGGAAAACACAATAGCCAGCAGGCAGGTAGTGTGGTATGTGGACTTTGTTCCAGCTTGGTTCCTGGAGAGGCTATACATTCCTGCCTTAAGTAAGGTCTTAAGCTTGGGGGTGGGGAGGGAGGGTTGGAGGGAAGAAAAGAAAGGACAGGTTAAGGTCCCACAGAAAATTTTAAGAATACCAAAATCCAACACCATCTGTGGGTTTTTTACCATCTTTTTTTTTCCTTCTTTCAATTCACGAAACCACTACTATAGTGATTCAAAAGGGGAAGAAGTCCAAATTACTTCTTACATAGAGCATGTCTTATTTTGATCTTATATCAAACATCCATAAGAGGCATATGGTTTTAATGAACAGAGCCCAAGCCTTGAAGTTCAGGAAGACCTGGGTTCTAGTTCTGCCTCTGGTACACACTTAGCCTTGAAACCCTGTCACTTAACATCGAAGTGCCCAAAACAATTCTAAAATTATAAATCGCAGAAAAAGTACTAATCTGCATTAGTAAAAGAAGTTGCTTACCCCCGAGCTGATAAAATCACAGGTCCCTAAAAAAAAATTCTAACACCTATATTGTTCTACTGTCAAAGGCTTTAAGGTACCCAGACTTCAATTCTTTACACACTATTCTCTTTTCAAAAGTGATCTTTGTGTTACTTGAATTCAAGTGTCTAGAGTGAATAATTTTTCCAAAATGAGAAACGTCTACCTTTTTTATAGTTTTAAAATGGTAAATTCTTTTCCCAAACTTATTTCTTTAGTACTTCATCCCCATTTATAAGCAAGCAAAAATGCCCTTCAAGAAGAGCTTCTAATGAAAATACTGATAACCCATACCAAGCTTCTAGAATATTAGAAAGAAGTCATGGCCCACTGACAGATAAAAATGCATACCAAAGACTGTAGTTGGTGGCTTTCTCAAAACTAGTAAAAATTCTATTTAATCCTTTCAGAAGGCTGAAAGAATAGGTTTCCCAGATTATACAGGTGAAACTGAGCTGCCCTTTTCATAGCACAGAACAATCAAGATAATACTAGGTACTTCTTACAGACTTAAGGTCTGAAGACAGTGAAACTGGTAAATGAGCTTTGTTTTTAAAGATATGGCGCGACCTAAACCGCTAACAAAACACCAGAAATTATTTTTAAAATTGCTCCCTTTTTAGAGATCCCATCCTTCATTATTCTTCAATAAGCTGAGGGGCAGCAGTAGCTGACAGGTGAGGCGTCTGGAAGTACTACTGAAGCAATTTACAGATAGTAGTTAAGCTAAGTGTTAAGTACTAAGTGCTTAGAATCAGTATTTACTAAGTATTTAAGTATTAAGGCTACTTAGTAGGGCTTCACGTTCTGGGACCAGGCCTCCTCCTGCTGCTTTACATAAGGCGAGGCTAGGCAGTGGTGGCCTGGGCTGCCCAGGGCCGGTTTCTCTGGCTGGATCCACGCGTCCTAGCAGGGAATCACCCGGATTCTTTGACGCTGGAGACTCTACATCTGAGCCTGCATCAACACAAACAGCTGGCAAATGAGGATCGTGACTGAAGTAAGGAGAAGAGAGGTAAGAGGAGAGGGGAGAGGGAATACCCATTTCATATTTAAGTTTCCAGCAAACTTTAAACTACCCTCTTGACTACTAGGAAGCAAAAGGCTTTTGGGCGCTGTTTTAACTAAAATGTAGAGTTTTAAATGAAACACACTGGGGCCCGTTTGTCCCCATGCAGAGTGTCTATCGCCAGCCCTTTCTCGGGCTTTCCCTCCGCGGGCCTCTTCATGGCACTATCTCTCTCCTGGCTTCCTCCCCCGCACGGGGGGGGGGGGCGGGATGCTCTGGCTCAGCCACTTGCTATTCATCAACCGGTTCACACCGGCCGCCGCCGCCGCGTCGTGACGTCCCGGAGGTGGTAGGGGCGCGGGGCGGACCTCTCTCCCCCGCAACCCCAACCTTAACTCCCCCCGCCCTTTCCCCGCAACCTCGTCTTCTCTGATCCCTTGTCCTGGGGCTGCGATTGGTGGCCCGGGGTTCGCACGTCGCGCGGTGTACATAAGGGCGGGCTTGTGACGCAAGGGCGACTCAGCACGCGTATTGGTTGCCGCGGGTGCGGGTCTTGCTCGGCGACGCGCTCTCTCCGGAGCTGCTCACTGTATGGTAGAGTCCCAGTGCCCCCGCTGCCGCCGCCACTGCTGCCGCCACCGCTGCCGTCGCCTCCATCGCCGCCGCCGCCGCCCCCGCCCCGCGACGACCACCGCCGCTCCCTGCGCTGCAGCCGCCGCCACCACCGCCTGCTGCGCCGCCTCCGCCTCGGGACCGGCTGTATGATTAGGCCACAATCTTCAATGAGTAAACATATTCCTGTGAGTGTCCGCTGCGCGTCCCGGGGCCAAGCCAAGGCGCTCGGTGTCGCCGCCGCCGCCGCCACCTTTGTTTCGTTTCTCCCGCCGCGGGCTGACCGGCTCCGAGAGCCCTGCGGGTCCGGGCGGCCGCCATGTGGCCGAACGGGCGGGCGAGATGGGGATGTGGGAGAGAGGCGTAGCTGGCCGGTCATGCCGGGCTTCGGCCCGCCACGTCTGCTCTGCCCCGGGCGCTTCCGCTACCGACAGGCGGCGGTTGGCAGCGGGGGAGACCGGTTTACGCTCCCCACTCCCCCTCGCCGACCACCCGGGGCCCGAAGTGGTTGGGGGCCGAGGGGAGGGTCGTGTGCCTGGGTCCGGTCGGGGGGTGATGGCCGGCGGTGGCGGGTGGGTCGGGCCGCTCGGCACAAAAGCCACTTTGTGACCGCCGCCTCCGCCCTTGTCCCCGGGGGCCGGCGCGCCCCGGCCGTCGGGGAGCCCCCTGCGGACCGTAGAGCTGTTTCCCGGGTCCCTCTTTGTTCCGGAGAGAAAGAAAGCGGCCCGACCGGCCCCACCGCCCCCGGCCGTGTGAATGATCCTCGGACGCCCGAGGCTTCTGGAGGCGGTGGGTGTCAGGCCCACGGGAGGGTGGTGTTCCCTCCTCTCTGGAGACCTGCGGGGTGGGGAGGGGTGAGGCGCACATGTCACCCCCGGCCCCGAATTAAAGAGGGCATTGAGAGGGAGGGAGGGCTGGCGGCCGGGCGCCGGGGACACCCGTTGAGCTGGCGGGAGGCGGGTAACGGTTTCCCCTGGGCCCGCCGCCTTCCCTCCCCTCCCCCCGAGCTCCAGGGGCTGGCGCTCCAGGCGCCGGCCCGGCCAGGGAATGGAGCCCGGCCAGGTAGCCGCCCGGGCTGGGCCGGACCCGGCCGCCTGAGACAAAATGGCTTCAGCTCCTCTTGGAAAGGGCGATTCAAACCCGTGATTGCAGCGGACAGTCTCAGCTTGATGGCTGGAGCTTTCTGAGATCTGGGGGTGATCCTGGAGTGCCGGGAACCCGCCGAGAGATCCCCTCTACCCCTCCTCCCCGACCCTGCAGCGGGGGCCGGAATCCCTGGTCCTGCCTCCCGGGTGGACCTCAGCGAGCGATCGAGGAGGCCCCAGTCGCCCCCTCCTGCTCTGCTCCCTTGCCTGTCTCCACCTTGTAATTTGAGTTGTTCCGGATTTAACACCACTCCTCGGCTGCTGGATAATGGGAACAAGTCGAGTCTTGTCTTTTCTCTGTGGGAGTTGGTCAGGAGAAGTCCACAATTTGAGAACCCTGGAAAAGTGCCACCACGGACCTCTGTGACACGTGAAGCCAGGAACCCCCATAGGCTTGAGTCATTCCGTGATCTCCCATGTTTTATTGCCCTTTGGAAGAGGCCTAGATTTAAGGGCATTTTTAATCGGGAATTATTTTAAATTGTTCCCTAAAGCCCTTGTGGCTGTTGTCATTTGTAATTCAACCCTTTAACAGTGTTTCTGGTCAAAACTTTGTGTCTTTTGGTGGTAATGACTACCATTCTAAAATTACCTTTAGACTGTAACTGTAAATGAAAATATCATTTGGATTCAGTGGTCTAAACTTTCAGAATTGGTGCCTGTCCTCCTCTCCTCAGTACTGTATACATATGGTTGGGGCAGTGGTGTTCACATGGTTTTTCCCCCTTTGCCCAGCTATAGTTAACTATTGGATAGCTGGAGTTACCCAAAAGTTATTTTGGAGAAGGAAATGGTGACATCAAAAATAGGGTAAAATCGGAATGTAAAGGCTAGTAAGGACATTTTGAGGCTCAGACTGCCATTCCCGCTGCTAGCACAGATGATTTTTGAGTTCTAGTAAAAAAAAATGATTTGTATAATGGAATAGTACAGTAAGTGTTTTCTCTCTAGATGTTGGTTGAGAGACAGTTGTGTCCTGCATATACTAATATAACACAGGTACCAATGAATCTCTATAAAATGCCCCCCCCATTTTGTTTGGCCACTTCTATAGTAGCTAGGAAAAACAAATGGCTAGCTTGACCAGTTGGACCAGTCTTATCATGACCAGTGCTGACATTCCTGTTTACACAAAACCATTGTGGGACCAGGAGCATTCCCTGTTTATCTGGAAAACGTGTAGATTTGGAATAGATTGTCTCATAGGATAAGCTGGTGACTTTACTCCCACAGTTGCCAAGATTCGACTTGCATCTGAATTGTGTAGAGGGAATTGACAGTTTTCTCAGCTTGTTTTGTGTTTTCTCATTCTTATAAAGATGTATGCAGCATTTTCACTACTCACATTAAGATACTGCTAGAATTAATTGTTCCCCTTTTTACAAAGGAGGAAGCAGGCTTAAGGAAGTGACTTGAGGTGAATGTCGGGACTCGGTCCAGTTCTTTTCCTAGGACACTCCACTGTCTCCTTCCCTGTCCTTTAGCCATTACTTCTGTATCAGTCCTTAAGGCTCTTTCTTCATGTCTATCCCTTCCTTCATCCCCTACCCCCCAACCACAAGATGGCTCCACTGAGAAGAGTTAAGTAGGTGGTTATTCCTATATTTCTGAATCTTTCCTTGCCTGAGCAAAATCCCTCTGGCAAAAAAAGTAATAATTCAATATGTAGTTTATTGTAACAGTGTTATTAATGAAGTAACAGCTCCATCTTATTCCGTATGTTAAGTCCTGATCATAAACTTTCAGGGAGCAAAGCTAGTTTTTAAAATATTAAGAAGAAATCAGTGGTAATTTCAGACTGGTAGTCATTCAAGACTTCATTTTCATCCTTTTTTGTTAAGACTTTTTTTTCTAGTATAAGTATTGTTCTCACACCTACAAGTCTTGGGATGAAGATAAATTAGTTTGGTGTGTTTTTTAAAAATATACATATTGACAGCACTTTACAGGGCCCTCTGACATAGATTGTGTCACTGACAGGTTGTGGCCATGTCTAGGCTAGTAATAAATTCTGTTCAGACATTACTTATCTGAACTTTGACTTCCCTGGTCTTGTCAGGCCATATTTTTTAAATGACCTGCCGGTACTTGTAACAACCTCTCAACTCTTAACTTTATCAAATTTTAAAATTGCAAACCATTACAATTATCATCTTTATGAGTCTTCAGCAAATTAAATTGTGCTTTTTTTTCCTATATATTTTTCTCAAAATTCCCTGGAATATTTGCCTTTGCAGTTAATTTGCAGGATTTGGATATGGTTTACTCTCAAGTTTTAGTTTGTTTCAAAAATGTAGTTTGCACTATGGTATCTCATCTAAAGTTAAAATATCTCATGCAAGAAGCTTGTCTTGATTAACCTAGAATTACCCCCATATAATCCTAATCTATTAAATTTGTACACATTTCAGTGTGAAATTTTTTTTCTTGAAGTAGCTATCCAGTTGTTTTGACCTTGTCCTTTTAAAGTATTAGGGGGGAAAAGAGTATAGAGAAAACTTCTCATACTCTCACAATACAGAAGATCTATTTACAATAAGGTTTTTTCTAGATTTTTAGTATTTTGTGTGTCATATGGTGTGAAGTTTTTCTACTTCACGTACTCAGTCAATTTTTGATGAAAGAAGACCAAAACTTGATTTAAATTTAGCTCTCTTTGAAAAGAGACCAGTTTAATAAAAATGAACTAGCCTTTTCCAAGTTGGTAGCATATTTTTATTCCTTGTGTGTGTGTGTGTATATGTATATATTTGTACATATATATGTTTTCTGAAATTGCCATGATCCTCACAGTATTCTACATTTAAATCTACAAACAGCATTTCAAGTTTACCTAGTTTTTGTAAATTCTACATTTTATGCTTTAATTCAGAGGTCTTGGTATTAAGCTTGCAGCAAATTTCATACTATTATGTATTTCCATTTGAATTTCAATATGATTTTTTGTGATTTCTACTTAAATTTTTCTTTTATTCCAATTTTGTTATAGAATTAGCAGTCTAGACAGATTTGCAGAGGCCAAGCTAGTCTTATATCCAGTTCTCCACCCCCCTCTTTAAAACATGTCAGTTAAGTGACTTGCCAAAAATCACAGTGCTCAGAGGCAGAATTTAAAATGTTTAAAATTTCTTTTGCCGGAGCTTGAGATGAAGAACAAGATTGGACAGGAAACAATTCTCTCTTTTTAACAATGATTCTTTATCCCTATGTTATCCTACTTTACCTCAAACACAGGCTCTTAACATTTTACTGAATTTTATTTGGTGTCACCACAAATCTGGTTAGGGCATCAGTAAAGTCCGGTTAGAAGGCTGTGTTTCAGTCTGTGCTACTGAGTTACTTGGCATGCATTATTAATTTTTAGTACAGTAAGTACATTGAGGCAGCCTGGTGTAATAGGACACCTCAGCTGGCAGCAGGCAGACCTGAATTCTGGTCTTGACTCTTCTCCTGTGCTCCTTTTTGGCCTTTAGTAAGCCTCAAACTCCCTGAACCTCTATTTCTTTATCTCTAAAATGGGGATACTTGAAGAAAAGTGGATATTTTTTTATAAGCTTTAAAAAGCCAGTTTTTAACCTGGTATCTATGCCCTTTAAAAAAATATGTTTTGATTACTTTAAATATAATTTATTTTCTTTGACTTTATGTGTTTTATACATTTAAAAATATTCTTAAGTCTATAGGCTTTTATCAGACTGTCAAAACAGTCTAACACAAAATCCCTGCTTTAACATGAAGAGGCCAAAAGTTAATATCTCTGAAGGATGAAGTTGTGTCACTTGATGCAGCACATTTCTTTTTAATTCAAAAGGCAAAGAAAAGAGATTTTGTTTCAAAGCAAAATTATAATACTTTGTGTCAGTTGACATACCAGATTCTTCTAGCTAGTGTTATATCAGTCATTGCTATCCTGTAAACATTGAAAGGGAGAAATATGTCTTTAAATTTTCACCTCACAAAAGCTTAGAATTTGCTTGGTTTTATAGTTTGGTCACTAGAAGTTGGCATACATTGCATTTTTTTTCCACTTAAGCAAAAGTGATGCTTTTACTTCTAATGATATTGTTAAAACTTAGGAATTGTTCTTTTTGATAAAATATTAGAAATTATTCCTTCAGGCTAGGGACCTTTTCAAAGTTACGTTTGGCATGTTACTATTCCTAACTAAGGAAGATTCTTTTAGTTAGTAGCTTAAGCAACTTTCACCAATGGATGTAGAAATACTACATATTATTATCAAACTTTTTCTTAACTGTTTCTATGAGGAATGTCATGGAGGCAGGGGTGCTTGGGGTGGGATACATTGAAAAAGTAGCCAATACAAAAGCAAAAATAAATTAAATGTATTTTGTAGTAAAAGTGAAAAAGATTGATTTAATAGTCCTTTATGCTGTAAAGTTTGATTTTTTTTCCCCTATACTACTCTGTTCTTTTTCCAACTGTAGTAACTAAAGTTTTCTCTTTTCCCTCCTACAGCAGTTCTGTGGTGTTCTTGGTCACACATTTATGGAGTTTCTGAAGGGCAGTGGAGACTATTGCCAGGCACAGCACGACCTCTATGCAGACAAGTGAACTGTAGAAATTCATTACTACTCCACCAAGAAGCCCCCTTAAGAGCGGTTAACCTGGACACAAAGTGTTGAATTGAAATTGGCAGAGCATTTTACAAGAGTTCTGACCTGGATGGGGTAAATCTCAGTGCACTGCCTTTCTTTTGCCTCAGTATTACTGGATTGAAGAATTGCTGCTTCTTGTTAGGAGGTTCATTTCATTTCCCATTGCTCTCAACTTCATACTTAAAGCACTGAGAATTTCAAGTGGAGTATAGTGAAGGAGACTTCAGTTTCTTTACATCACTTCTGTATTCAAATTTTTAAACCCTTTCATAACCTTATTGAGTGTTTTTTAACTAAATTGACATGGCTCGAATGAACCGCCCAGCTCCTGTGGAAATCACCTACAAGAACATGAGGTTCCTTATTACACACAACCCAACCAATGCAACCTTAAACAAATTTATAGAGGTAAGTATGGGAATAAATATTACTTGATTAATTGCTTTGCTGTTTAACAGCAACAGCAATTTGGTTTAAGAACTGTAAATTTGCTTTTGGAAAAAGCATGTACATGGTGATTGCCCTTACCTAATACTTTAGGAATTTTAGCTGCAATACATTGGGGGTGGGGTGGGGGGAAGGTTCCAGTCATTAGTCCCAGAAATAAATAAATCGGAATGAAGTAGCTTCTAAATTAACCTCAAAAATAGAAAAAGATGTCTTTATTCCATGAAGAAGCAGACATGAGTTAATTTTGGATCTAGAAATTCTTCATTTAGGTTCTTGGTCATTAATGTTCAAAAAAACTGTATTTTATAATTCTGATCTGATTTAATTAGTAATTCATTGGCACCTTAGTGAGGCAAAGACATAGTATAATTTTAGTAAGTCAGAAACGCTGACGTCCAAATGGACTTCCTGTTTCCCCTGCTTGGCTAAGGACAAGCTGCTAAGCTCCACCTCATAACAATAGTCCAGTCTCATTTAGTCAGCTTGTTACTATCAGTTTTAGCCCTCTTTGGAGGAGGAAATAAACACCCTTGAATTTTCCATTTCATTGTGGTATACTGACAGAAGACTCTAATGACATATTATATGTAAGCCACCTTTTAAAAGTAAGTAATACAGAAGCCCCCACAATCCTGGAAATTGGTTTAATTAGTCTACCAACTAAATATCCTGCTGAAATTTTCTTTTATAAGCTGGTTTAGTGAAGAGGGACATATACCTGGGTATAGCCCAATGTTACACTTATACCTTAGTTTTTAGCATAAATTCATTAAGACAATTATGAATATTTGAGGGCTTGCATTTTTTAAAAATAGTTTTGAGTTTTTAAATATAGGGCTGTTGTAAAGGAATTACTAGTTAAAGATTTCATGAAAAGGCCTGCAGATTAGATTGCAGATAGTCTTGAATGATCTGTGTTGGTCCTTCTGGGCTTTTTCATGTTGCCATCACCTTTTGCTTTCCTAAAGGCCTATTTTTTAAAAATTCATAATTAACTAAGAAGAAAAAGGAAGAAACCAAGTAAATTGTTCCCACTTAGAAGACTATAAGGACTTTGTTTGAAAGTTACATATACTACAGTCCCTAAGCTTTCTGTCCTTTCTTTCCTAACATATTGCAAAATTTATGTAAAGAAATAGATTATAATTTTAACTACATTTCACTATGAATGTAAATCCTTTGACATTGTGTTTTAGTTCTGAAATCTCAGAGGTCATGATGTAGTTTGTAATTTGCCTCAGTAGTTAATTTACTAAGATTTAAGTTTGCTTAAGTTCTGTGGTGAATTTTTTAATGGCAAGTTTTCTCAAAAGGAAAGTTATCTTTTCTTGACAGAAAAAGATTCCTTTTTATATTTGAGTAGAAAAGAGACAAAATAGTGTGCTTCCAGAAGAACAAACATTTTAAGCAACAACCCCAGGTTATAAAAAATTATTATTAAAAGGACAGGATGTTAAATCTAAAGTCTTTTTTTTTTGGCTGTTATTTTAGGCAATGGAGTTAAGTGACTTGCCCAGGGTCATACAGCTAGTAACTGTTATATGTCTGAGGCCGGATTTGAACTCAGGCCCTCCTGAATCCAGGGCCAGTGCTCTATCCACTGTGCCAGCTAGCTGCCCCTATCTAAAGTCTTAAAAGGCAACTTAAGTGTGTAGTGAAAATTCTTCAGTTCTCCATGCAGATTCCTCAAAATAGACTTTTGTTACTAGAACTAGTCTCTGAAATGAGCACCTTTATAAAATCTTTCAAAGAGGTTTCATTATATTATCGTTTAACTTTTTAAAAGAAATAACTGGTCATTTTTTATTCTGTGTGGTTCCTTGTAAAAATGAGTAAATTATTGAGAATAAAAAAGTTGGACTGGAATACTTCCAAGGTCTCTTCCAGTTCTGTGATCCTATGAAATAATTTTTCTCATTTCAACTCTCTGAATTATGGCCATTAATTATAATGAATCATTTATTAATGTGTATGATATTGCATGTTTTATTGGTTTGAAATAGTAAAATATTACAAAATAAGGTGCTTTTTTTCCCCCATTTATTTGTTTATTTTAAGGAACTAAAGAAGTATGGAGTTACCACAGTCGTAAGAGTATGTGAAGCTACTTATGACACAACCCTTGTGGAGAAGAAGGCATCCAGGTTCTGGTAAGTGATTTTAAATTTTTATTTTCATGCTGTTTCCTACCAAATTTCATCCAAAAATATTTACCCAGTTTTAACTACATTTCTAAAGGTAGCAAGAGCATTGACTTATAATAAAATAATTCTTTATGAATATTTATAAAATTAATGTGGGGAAAATATATTAATGAAAAACTTGTACAGCTTGAATTGTGGATTTAAGTAAGAGAGGGTACATGCTCACCGGAACTTTACCTAGTTTGTAATTTATTGATAATAAAACGAAGAATCCAGTGAGGATATGTGCCAGCCTGTAATATAACTACCCAGGTCCCTTTTACTCTGATTCAGGATATGCTTCAGTACGTGTGAGGTCTGACAAAGATGATTATAGTGGCTCCTGAACATTGTGGTTTACCTACCCTGTTTTATACTCATTCTAACCTTAAAATGGCTAAGCTAGTAGTCTATAAAACTAGAATTCCCCTTCACAGGTACTCTGTAAATGCCAGTACCTAGAATGTTCGTGATACTATTTGTGTTTCAGGATTGGCCTTTTGATGACGGAGCACCACCATCCAACCAGATTGTTGATGACTGGCTAAACCTAGTGAAAAGTAAATATCGTGAAGAACCTGGTTGTTGCATTGCTGTTCACTGCGTTGCAGGTCTTGGGAGGTAACTAGAATTTTTAAATCTGTTATGATTTCCTGGTAGACTAAGGTAAATTTGCCTAATTTATTTGTGTATTATATTTGTATTACAGTTAGGTTTAGTAAAATGATAAAACATTCCAAAGCCTAACATAAATGTGGGGGTTTTTTTACCCATCACATTTCTCCCTTTCATGAGCCCATGGTTTCATTTGTTGATTAGTCCACAGGTAAACATTTTTCAGATTTAGCAGTACACAGTGAGTTTTACAACATACATGCAATTTTAATCTTATCCCTTATTTCACCCTAACATAGATTGGTTTCTTTGAAATTTAAGTAAACCTTAATCAGATTCAGCAAGCATCTGCTAATAAATACCTACCTTGTGCAGTGCTAGACACCAGGGTCCTTCCCTAAAGGAGTTAAAAAAAAATAGTAGAAAATCTTTCTGGAAGTCTGGTACTTATGAAATTCAAGGTAATATTTGTGTATTTTTGTTTAATAGAAATAATAAGATGAGTAATATTTTGAGCTCTTTGATTGAAATGTTGCACTTTAAGTACCATTTCTTTCTTAGTAAATATTTGGAGAATCAGACCACAATGAAATGCTTATGAAAATTGTGAAAATAGAAGTTTACTATTTTTCCCCTTTGGTCTCCACACCATTAGTATAGTATACACTCCACTAGTATAAAACAGAATTGGAAGGGAGGTTTCTGTGATAGTGCTATTTTGAGACCCCTTCCCCTCTAGAAAACAATAGGATACATAGTGTTGGAGAAAATATTGTTTGTTTTTATTATCTTTGCCAGTTTTAAGCTTAATTTAGCTGTAAAGGAAAATATTGTCAACAAAGAGGCAAAGTTAGCAACATATATTTCAGTCTACCTAGGACTAACATTTTGGGGATTTTTTATTTCTCTGTTTTGTATGCCCTACTTTTAAATTTAAAAACAAATATGTTTGCTAGGGGTTTACCTAAGGAAAGAAAATCTAGTAGAGTCCAGGTTGTATTGTTGGGTTTTGTTTTTTAAATATGACCAAAATTTCCCTTGGTATCTTTCTGCTATCCCATCTTTCTTAAAGGCAAAAGAAGATAGAAGAAATCAGCAAAGCTGCTAAGTAGTACAGACATATAAGCAGAATGTGCAGTGTACCATATCTATGGACCTCCCAAAGGGAGAATGCGGTGTTTATCTCTTTGGAGCCATGCTTGGTCTATGTAGTTTTTGCAACATCCACTTTTGTTTTGTAGTTCTTTCCATTTACATTTTTGTAGTCATTTGTGTATATTATTTTATTGGCCCTGCTTGCGTCCCTTTGCATTAGTTCATTTAAATCTTTCTGTGTTCTGTATTATGTCATAATCATCATTTTTCATAGCGCGGTAATATTCCATTACATTTGCATACCACATTTGTTCCACATTGAATGGCTATCCACTTGTTCTATTCTTTGTTCAAAGTTCTGCTATAAATATTATGATGTATATAATAGGGACTTTATTATCAGTGCAGGTCAAGTTCTTTAAATAAACACCATTATTTAAAAAAAGATTGTGACAGTAAGATTTCCTCAGTCTGACTCAGTCTTTGATACAATAGAACTATAGCAAGTTTGTTGCGGGATGTGATACAATTATAACAGCCATTATCATGTCCTATTAGTGTCCTATAGGAATACTGCTTGATCTTTTAGTAGCACTTTTATACAATGATGAATAATCCTCCACCACAAATATGTTCCCTGATTTCTTCCTGCTATGTATAATGGCTCTAAGGAAAGTGTCTATTATTTATTTACATTCAGTGGGGAGAAGGACGTTAAATGAGGTCTGATTATGTCATCAAATGAAGAGTTATTCTTCATCCACTTAACTCCCTGTCCTTTACTTGAGATATCTCAGCCACATTTATTCTTGAAGCATTTGCTCAAGTAAGTGAAAAATCTCTAATGGAAGAAAATAATCAAGGAAATGAGTCCAATGCCCTCTTCTTTCTCTTATGTTCAAAACAGTTATTTTCATTTATTCCTTTGTTGGCAAAAGGTCACTCAGTTGTGAAATACAGAATTCATTCTTCTTTCCTAATGGTGACTTGAAGTAAAGAATGGGCTTACATTTCAGTTATTCCCTACAAAAGTCATCCAAGAATATACATTAAAAATAAATGCTCTTGCTAGCTTGTCCCTTAGCCCACTCCTAATCTTTTCTTTTCCCACCCAGGTTTTTAATAAATTTTTAACTTGTTACGCTTTCCCATCAGAACAAACATGAATTAGAATAGTAATTTTGGCAAATAAACAGATGATCTTTGGGTTGGACTAGCAAGTTTTGTTACTTTTGGTCAATTCATTTACTAAAATTCTCCTACCAGAGCTCCTGTGCTCGTAGCCCTTGCACTAATCGAAGGAGGAATGAAGTATGAAGATGCAGTGCAATTCATAAGACAGTAAGTATCAATTTTTTTAAAGTTAAAGGCTAAACTCACTTATGCCCACTCCTCACAGAATCTTTTGTCTAGTAATAACAAGGAGCTAGTGTTAAATAAATTATAATAGTCAGGTGTAGGGTACAACATGAGTAAAGGCAGGGACAGGGAGCCAAGTCAAGGAGCATTTATTAAGCACCTGCTATTGCTCAGTCACCATTCTAAATGCTGGGGATACAAAGAAAGGCAAAAAACCAGCTTCTGTTCTCAAGCAGCTCAGTCTAAGGGGGAAGACAACCTACAAACAAGTTACATAGGGTATACATTGGAGACAATTTCAGAGGGAAGGGACTAAGATTAAGGAGGACTGGGAAAGGCGTCTTGCTGAAGGTGGTACTTGGTATTTCAGTTGAGACATCATATTTGCACACATTAATCTGGCATGAATGTGAAGGATAAACTGGAGGAAGCATACATTGGCGTTATAGTCGAGTGGTAATGGGGGGAGGGGCTATCTAAGGTGTTAGTGGGAGTAGGATAGTATGAATGTGAATAGAATAAACGGCCACAAATAGGATATGGATTGCGTTTAAAGACATCAAATGGTAGTAAAGTTGTTCTGGACCTTGGTTTTTTTTATATGTTAAATTTTTGATACCAAAAAGAAACACAAGTAGATTTAGTAGGAAGTTTAGTTTCTTGGTGCAAATCATAGTGCATAGTGTTATGCAATTACATATGATCATGTTTTTATACATCAAGAAATTCTGATGTGGGGTTCTAGAATTTTTTTTCTCATTCCTTCCTTAAAGTGAGAATAGAGACTTCCTTTATAAAACCCCTACCTGTTGAGCAGTAGGAGTTGAACTTTCAGCTGCAAGCCACTAATGATGACTCCTCTACCTGGAGGGGAAAGCTAGTCTCTTATTAGAAACCCTTAATAGCCCTCCCATTTCTTGGTGCCAGCTGGCTCCTTCTTAGTCATCATCTGTTTTCTTTGCATCTGTGAACTACTCTCTCTGAATCGATCTACTTGCTGCACTGCTATCACATATTTATTTGGCTTTTTCCTTCTCTGGTCCATTGTGAAGTAGGATTAAATCTTTCATTTAGTCCCTCTGAGATTTAGTAAAGGTTTTTGTTGCTGTTTTTTACTGCTCCTTAACAAGAGAGAAGAAATTGTCTAATAAGAATTTGCATTTTGGTGTTCCTGTTCCATTCCACCTCCCATATATTCATCTTTTTCCATTTAAAACAAGCTTTAGGGAGGGAAATCCACTTTTTTCCACTCTTAGTATTGTTAACATTTAGTAGGGAAATTATATTGATATTATGCCTGTACTTCAAGGAAACATGGGCTTATTTTAGATATTTCACAAAAAAAAATACTCTTAAGTGGTCTGTGGCAAGGAAAACCAGTAAGTTCGGCAAGGATTGTCAATAATTCCTCATCTTTGACGAGGGCACTATAATGAATGGAATAATAATATGCAAGCAAATGTTAGAAATTTGTTGGTTTTGTTTTTGTTTTTAATAGAAAACGTCGTGGAGCCTTTAACAGCAAGCAACTTCTTTACTTGGAGAAGTATCGTCCTAAAATGCGGCTGCGCTTCAAAGACTCAAATGGTCACAGAAACACCTGTTGCATTCAGTAAAGCTGAGCTGCCTGTATTATTGCCTTGGAAGCAGAATTGGAGATAGGACCTGGGGCAAATTACATACATAACTAGCCAACATATAGGCTTGATGAATAAATCTAACGAAGCTTCCATAGGAATATTTTAAGACAATTTTGTAGGTTACAGGCTTGGCAGAAATGCAGCTTCTGTCTTTGGATTACTAACAACCTGTTCGGACACTTAGTAAAAGATTCTTACTATTCAGCCTTTGGAACTTATTGTTTATCATTTGTATCAATTGAACTTTCCTGAAATCATGCAGTATTGAGTTACAAATCTTACTCAAATCTATTTCCTAATACCAGAGTCTTATCAGCAAATATGAAATTTTAGAGAGATTAGGTGCCAAAATACCCAGCACAATGCTTACATATTTTCAATATCATACAGAACATCCTGGGAACTACAGACAGTAACATGAACCCTATGTGGTTCTTATTCCTTCAGTCATTTCAATATTGAAGATAGGGCCTATATGGTAATTGCCTGCTCACTGTATGTTTACATCTCCCACAGTCGCACTAGAATATCAGGATTTGCACAACCATTCATTTTGTTGGATTTTACTAAGTCTTATGGTGATAGTTTAATGTCTTTCTGTAAACCTTTGTCTCATTTTGTGCTGTTATCAAGACCTGCATTTTGAAAAAAGATCATAATTCTCTGGTTGAAAATCCATGTAAAGATCTACACGTTGTACAGAAGCACACAAAGTCTTTAATGTCTCCAGACAATAAGCCTTACAGTTAATTTAATGTTCGCACTAATGGGGTGCAACTTGACAGGGAGGGCCTGAAAAGGATGGGAGGGGGCTATTAAATATTTCTAGTAAAATGTTGCCTTTGTCTTGTGCAGGAAGTATTAGAATATGCCCTTTACTTTAGTAAATATTTTTTAAAAGGTAGAGATGCTTTGTTATTGTAGCTAAAGCAATTCTTAATCATAAAATTCTGAAAATCTTGTAATTTCTTTTACTGTACCTATTGAAAGTTGTTTACCAACTATTGCTTTTGTTGAAAGTGATTTTTTTCCCCGTCTTTCCCCATTCTCCTCCCCCACCCCCCCCAGGAAAAAAATTGGGTTCCTGCTATGAATTGAGCAGACCTCTAATATTTTGTATGCCTTTTGAGCTTGTGTAACTTAATATTTGGATACTTGATAATTTGTTTTATTATGTAATTGATAAAATGGTGATGTGTATTAATGTTAGTTCAACCATATATTTATACTGTCTTGGGAATGTGTGGTTATAGTTCTGTGGGAGAAATGATTTTTCCAGTGTTCACCAGCTTGTAAAATCTAGTGCGAGAGCTTAAACATCTAAATAAATAAGTACTGAAATGCACTTAACACTATTGAGGTTTTGTTTAAATTTAACAGCAACTTTCATTCGTGACTTTTATAGTCTCTTTACTTGACATATTAAATGTTATCCTATCACCCTTTATAAATGGAAAATAAATATTAGTGATGTTCTTGCCTATAGGTACAGCTAAAGGGAGAGTGAGAGCTGCTGTTGGATTTATTCTGAAAACATTTGCCAAGATAACATTCATGTTTTAAAATCTATAATAAATGTCGCGAATTAACTAAGCACATGTAGCAGTGGACTACAGTGTAATAGCCTGGAAGATTTAAAAAATTTTAAAGCCAATCCTTGGGTTATCTCACTGTGTACACTGCAGCATGCTTGGTGCTTAAAAAAGCTAATCAAAGATAAAGCCATCTATTGCTTTTACATAGAGAATTGTTTAATCTAAAACACTTAAGGAAAAAAAAATAATCCAATTTCCATATCTTCACTTTAAAATTTTAATAAAAGTTATTTCACAGCACTGCATTCTCTAGTTAGCAGCAACTATTAAAGTAAATATTAGGTTACTATGATTAAATGAGTTTCATGTTTTTCCTGGATAAAACAAAACTTGATTCTCTCCTGAGTTCTTACTGAGACCATTATAGAATTGAGTTGTCTCAGTGTAATGCCCAAATATGTGTTGAGAAATGAAAAAAGAAAATTTTGTCGCACTGTATCAAGCATCTGGATTTTGAAAAGATTGACCTAAGTTTTTCACATCTTGTAGACAAAGTATACCATTAATTATAACTTTTAGTAAAATGTTTGTTGGGTTGGAGTTAGACTTGAAATGCAGGTTTGAGTTTTTTTGTCTGATGTTTTTGAGAAGAAACAGAGGTAGAATTAGAACACTATAGGTACTCTCCAACTAAAGAAAATTATTACTAGAAATTTGCTAATTTGAATTTCCTTTTACTTTGTTTGGAATCCACACCAAAAAAAACGACTATCATAGAAATATAAATGCTGGTTTTCACATTAGCCTGAAACATTTATTTTGGATTTTAGCTCAAGTCGCCCTGGGTTCTTTTAAGGCTATGCCAGAACCCAAGTTCAAGCAAAAGGCACCAAAGATAAGGAAATTCCCTTATCTGTTTCAGCACCTTCTGAAGTGGATCCCAACTTCACTTCCAAGCCTTATGTTAAATCCTTTCATGAACTATATGTTCCCAAAACATCCCTTATTTTTATTGTGCATTTGTTTTTAAGCTCCTCTACATCATCCTCTACTCCTATCTACAGTTAATTTTTGTGATGGTTTCTCTTCTGCCTTCATTTACCTGGTTGTATCTATAATCAACTAAGCTCCATGGAGAGGAGAAACTGGAATACATTAATTTTTCTTCACAATTTTGCAGTATAATTTATTGAATGTTTTTAGTCCTGGAAGTCCTTATAGAAAGGACATTTCCACCAGATTTGGGGAGCCAACAGCAAGCAAAATTTTGAAATTGATGATTTGCTTTCTTGTGTCCTTCCATTTTACCTTTTTGTGATTCTGCTTCCTAATTCCTAATACAACTCTTACCAAGCATCCATTTCCTCATGATAATATCTCCTTAGGCAGCAGTAGACCAGAACTGTCGTTAACCCTGAAATGTCAAGAGTAAAAACTACCTGCCTCCCTCTAATCAATACTCACTATTCTCTTAGTATGGTATCTTAGCTAAGAACTAAGAGAAAAACAAATTCTTATACTATGGTGAATGACTAGTTCTATAACCCAAGATATTTAATTTTTCAAAGTATTTGTTAATTTGAATAAATTAATTGGCATGTCCTAGGATAGTGTAGTCAAAAAATGCTGTTTGTATGGAGAAGGAAGATATGGAAGAGACAATTAAATGGGCTAACCCATTTTCTCTGGCAGGCTACCCCTGGGCTCAGCTCCCTTCAGGCATTCTGTGTTTCACAGCATTTCCATTTTATTCTACTTCCAAACCAAGAGATTTTTCAAAAACTCCAAATTTGTATCTGACTCCCCTTCCCCCAGGAGTTGGGAAAGCAGTGTGTACAGTCTTATCTAATTATTTTTTATACTTACATAAATCTTAAATTTTATCCTTAAGATAACCCTTTGAAGCATATAGGGGAAGTATTGGATTCTTCAATTTTATAGATAACAGATGCAGTTCTTGTTTTAAGACCACACAGTATGTGACAGGTCTCCCTACTTCCTCCTGTGGAAGAAATTTTTCCAGGGCTGAAAACTCCAGGACAGCTGCTATATTCTGATTCCCAATCAATACTCTTACTCCTTTTTAAATTTGGAAACTGCCTATATTTCAATTGATTTATACTAGAGTAATATGGATTGTGCTCACTAAGACATGGTCATGAGTATTAAATTTAGTTGGCTCATTTGTTTTTACAAGCATTTATTATCCATATCTTCCCCCAATATTGAGCATTTTTTTAGTTTAGGAAAAAGCCTTCATAACATGTATATTTGTATATATGTTTGTATTAGTCTAGCAAAACATTCTCACACTGATCGTATCTAAAACTAATGCAATAAAAATTACATTTAATAAGTGGCCTTTGAAGAAAGATTTGAAAAGTAATTGGCAACTAAACTTAGTTCTAAAGAAGTGTTAGCTCAAAGAATGAATTATGGAAATAATAACTTTAACCAAAAAAGATAGCAATGAGACAACAGAACTTGACAACAAAATGCGTGAGTTGCAATGAAAGCAGTCCTTGGGAGAGATTTTTTAACAATAAGAGAGCAAATAAATGAAATTTGAACAAGTCCATTCTCTCAACTAAATGATGGAGAAATTTTACAAATCAAAGGAGAGATGAATTGGAAACAAAAAGATAATTGAATTAATAGAAACTAGGAGCTTTTAAAAACTAATAGTAATATATAGTTGACTCATCTGATTTTTTTAATGGGAAAATCAAGTATCAAAGATGAAAAGAATGACAATTGGAAATTAAATCATTTTGATACATCCTAACAAAAGTGATAAAGGAAATGAATGAATACTTAGTAAAAAATATAATACTAGATTAACAAAAGAAAACTTACTTAACTTAGTCCAATAAAAAAAAAAGACATTAAGCTGTAAATGAGCTCTCAAAAACCTCCAGGACCAGATGGATACTGGTAAAAAGTGAATTCTAACACATTTAAAAAACATTTCCAAAATTGCATAAACTTTTCAAAAATATGTAAAATAACATGTTTCTATGATACAAATATGATCTTGATAACCTAAACCAGAAAGAGACAAAGATGAGAAATCTATTGACCAATGTTCATAATGAACAATTATTTTTCAAAATTTAAATATCAACAAATACGCTACAGCAACATAATGCAAATGTTATAAAGTATGATCAGGTTGGATTTATGTCAGGAATGAAAAACAACGTGATTATATACTCATACTGAAAAGACTATTGACAAAATCCAAAACCTTTTTCTGTTAGAAAAAAAAAACAAAAATGGACTTTTGCTTAAATATAGTAAGCAGTATCTGTCTAAAACCAAGAGAAAACATATAATGGGAAAAGAGACTTTTCCAATAACATCAGGGGCAATTCAAGAATGTCTATTGTCACCATAACTAACAGTACTTGAAATGTTAGCTGTAGCAATAAGACAAAATAAATTGAGAGAATAGCAATTGGAAAATACAGTTATCACTGTTTGTAGATGATACAATGATTTATTTGGAGAAAACTAAAGAGTCAATTAAAAATTAGTTGAAACAAATTCAAAATTTGCAGGGTATGAAATAAATTCACATAAACTATCAACATTCCTGCATATTATCAGCAAAATCCAGCAGAAAGGGATAGAGATGCCACTGAACAACAATGTATAAAATCTTTTGGCTCTTATTTATCAAGACACGGCCAGCCACTATATGAATCCAACTACAAATCAGTTTGGCAAAAATAAAGACAAAAATAGAGAAATATTAATTGCTCATGGGTATTCAATATAATAAAAATTCATGACATAAATTAACTTTCTTATTCACTGTTGTGCCAAACTAGCGCATTTGATAGGGCTACCAAAAATAATAATGAAATTCACATGGAGGAACAAAAAGTCAAGAATCTCAAGAAAGTGATGAAAAAAACCATGGAAAAGAAGGGAGCCCAGTTATACCAGATCTCAAATTATACACTACAAGGAAGTAATCATTAATATGATTTGATATTAGTCAAAAAAAGATTATTGTATCTCAATATAACTCAATCTTTTTAAAGGCCAGGAAATAAGCAAACACCATGAGTAAAAAGAAACGGGGTAGCTAGGTGGCACATTGGATAGAGCACTGGCCCTGAAGTCAGGAGTACCTGAGTTCAAATCTGGCCTCAGACCAAACACTTGACACTTATTAGCTGTGTGGCCCTGGGCAAGTCACTTAACCCCAATTGCCTAAAGAAAAATATACCATAGATTCATATTATGAGAACAGTGAAGATCAAGGCAGAACATTTTCAACAAACCCTCATCTGGAATGTCAAAAGGGAATATGAGCTGGTCTGAAGTCAAAAAGCCTTAGAAGATCTCAAGAAGGATTTTAAAAGTCAAATGAGAGAGGTAGAAGAATCCTTAAAAAATACAATTGGCCAACTGTAAAAAAAAAAAGTACACTGAAGAAAACAAGTCCCTAAAAAAATACAATTGACCAACTGGGGAAGAGTACAAAACTAACAGAAGAAAACAATCTGTTAAAAATTAGAATTGGCAAATGGAAACTAATGACTCTATGAGAGAGCAAGAATCAGTCAAACAGAAACAAATGAAAAAATAGATGAAAATGTAAAATACCTCATGGTAAAACAACCTGACCTGGAAAATCGATCAGGAGAGACAATTTAAAAATTATTGGACTACCTGAAAATCATGATGAAAAAAAGAGCCTGGACAGTATCTTTCAGGAAATCATAAAGGAAAACTGCCCTGAAGTCCTAGAACCAGAAGGGAAAATAACCATAGAAAGAATCCAAATCACCACCTGAAAGAGAT